TGGAGAACTTCAAAAGCACACCTACTTGCAACCCCCTCTCCCCACCCGCCTGCCCGCCCTGCCTATCTCCCGGGGGCTGATAGGAGATAAATGAAATCACTTCTTCAAAGCACCCTACTCAAGGACCCGGATCAAACACCAGGGCTTGGAGATAAGCTTCAGTCTACATTTCCTTTTGTCCATTCCTTCCCACCACATCTCCAAAGGAAATTCTAGAGGGAGGAAAAGTAGTTAATTCCTCCTCTTTTATCAAAAGGCGTTACCTCCCCTTCCCGGGCAATGGCTGGTGATAGAAGAACCAGGGAACTAGGGAGGGAGTTGGGAAGGCCTCTTCCCGGCCCTCTGCCAGCGTGAGCTGTGTGACTTCAGACTCCCCCGTAAGTTCTCAGAGCCCCGTGCTTCATCTGTCAACGGGGATAAAAACACCTGTCCAAAATAACTCACAAAATTGTTATGAGATGATGAGTACAAACGTGTACTGGGAAAAGATACTCCATGTTTCCACAGTTAACATGTTGAAAATTACACAGTCATCCACCTTGAATCTTTTTGGGAATAAGCTGAGCTGAGATATAAATAAATAGCCCTTTTTATGTAAAACTAGAGGCCCAATGCACAAAATTCGTGCAACAGTAGGCCTTCCTTCCCCCGGCTGCCGGCACCAGCTTCCCTCCAGCACCCGGGACCCGGGCTTCCCTGCCAGCCCTGGCTTCATCCAGAAGGTAGTCCAGAAGGACATCTGGCCTAATTAGCATATTACACTTTTATTATTATAGATTCTTATTCATTCACTAACATTCATTGAGCACTTAAGGCATTCAGGCTGCATGGCTTCTCATCCCAGCCCCACCTCTTACCAGCTGGGAATTTGGAAAAGTTAGTTAACCTCTCAGGGACCTCCACTTCCACCTCTGTGAAATGGGGGTAATGACAGGACCTCCCTCCTCAGGCTCCTGAAAGGATTAAATGAGATCATGTGAGCAAAGTGCTTAACAACAGTGCTTGGCTCTCAGTGCTAGCTACTGTGATGATATAGTGAAACACCCTGCCAGGCCATAAGAATACAAGGAGAATGAGGACAACACAGAAGCATTCAGCGTCCAGTGGGAGAATGGACAAGTAAACAGACAGATGCCAGGTCTAGTAATAGAACGTAATGGGAGTTGTGAGAACAGAAGAGGGAGCTACTAGACTCTAGTAACTAGAGTGTGCTCGCCCCCTGCAAGGCTGGCTGTTCTTGCTTTCACCTGATTGTTCCTCTTGCCCCCCTGGCCCTCTGCTGCCCGGGCTGTGTCTGAAGCCTGGGATGAGGCCTGCAGAGGAAGTGCCTCCCGGTGCCCTGAGCGCAATGCGCTACATCAGGGCTCCTGGCCAAGGCTGTAATTGCCAGCCGCTGAAAGATATTAAACGCCAGGGAGGAAAACCAAGTTCTCTATGAGGCCGACTTTTCAGAGTTCTTACAGCTTGTAAAAAAAAAAAAATGTAAATAGTTACCCAGTGAGATATTATTTCATGTTGTTGCCATTAGGGTGTGAGTGTTATGCAGAGAGAGGCGATCGTTCAGGCAATTCCGCCTCAGCAAGGACTGAAAACTCCACATTAACCCCACACAACAAATCTACCACCTCTCGCTCTCAACCTGACTCAGGCATTTTTTTCCTGGGTGGTGAATTTTATGTAAATTGAAGTAGTGAAAAAAATCTATAAATATGCAGAATTTCCTAAAGGATTTTTCCTGATGGCTTGGGGAGGGGGGCCATTTTTTTAAAGATACAGTTGGAGGCTGGGGGAAGGGAACTCATGCTGGTGGCCTTCTGGGACAGCGTTGGGCCTTCAGGCCTGTTGGTTGCCAGTGCTGAGATCCTCTGGGTCCAGTTGCTGCCTTGACTGTTCTCTGGAGCAATTGCCCGCAGATGCAGGTGGCCCCTCACAGCCTTCATTGACCTGGAACTTTCTTTGTGCCAAGCAATGGTGCTGCTCACTCACAGGGCAATCTGCGGAAGGCCTAGAGGCCCCTTACCCGTACGTCTGCACTTTTGGCAAGGGAGAACATTGCCATAGGCCCTGTCCCTGTGCAACATTGTCTTGCATGGACTTTTCAACCACAACCCTAGTGCAGTTCTCTGCCCACAAGTGGCCTTCAATAAACTTGACCCAACTGAATACTGTCTTATTCTCTCCCCAGTGACAAGGCATTTCTTTGAAAACTGTCCTTCCTGTAAGCCGCTAGGGCCCTATTTAAAACTCTGTGTAAGTTAGCGTTTCAGCTAAGTGATTGTCAAATGCTGATTATAATAATTGTCTAGTCGTGTTTTAATTAGGCCTCTGGTCTGCCTTAGTACGGTTGTCCATTTTCTCTCCTCAGGCAACTAGATGGATTCAGCCAAGGAGCCCTGATGCCCTCACCAGCACCCAAAAAGAAGGGTGTCCCCGCTACCTTGCTAGCACCTTCCAGGAAGGAGCCCTGTCTCTATCTCAATGCTGCCTGGCACCCACTGTTCCCATCAGTGAATTCTGCTGTGGACTAAGGGACTGGCATTTCTTTTTAAGGACAATTTATTCTTACCTAGGCAAATTCCCAACCCTCCACCCTGAGCCTGGCCATCCTGTCCTCATCTCTTCCCTTCTCCCTCCCTTTCATTCATTCACTGCCCTTTTCCTCTCCAAACAAAGAGTAAATATTCTTTCCTCCTCCATTCTCCTCCTCTCTCCTTCCTGCTGCCTCCTGTCCCTCTTTTCCTTCCAAAGTCCTAAATGCCTTTCCTCTCTCTACCTCCCCTCTGCTCCCAACTGATTGCCCATTAATCACTCTTAGCACACATATGCTTGGGTCCTGGAAGGATTTCTTGGCTGGCTCTCACAGCTGAGCTGGTTACAATAGTCAAGAAGGAGTCTTTCATCTCTTACTGCCTCTGAGAACTCCACTCTTCCCAACTCTTCCTCCTCTAAGGTGCCTACAAAGGCCCATCCTCTTCCATTCTGTAAGGCTTTCTTCTGTTCTCTCTCTGCGTAGCACTCTCCCAAAGGCCAAATGGCCCTGAAGGTGGACCTTTAACTGTAGTGTTGGCACTGGCAACAATGTCAGAATGCACAGAGGCTGGCATGGGAGAGGCAGGAGGAGGGGGATAGAGACCACCACAGTGATTGGGATCACACACACCCCTTCTTGTGCCCCTCTTGCCACAATATGGAAGACACCCCCCAGTTGGGGCATCCCTTGGAATTCCTTCTAACCTGACTTTACCAGGTGGAAAGCCAGTGGGATTCCTAGGAGGTCTGTGCCTACTGCCCAAAAACAGCACAGACCCAGGAGTAGGTTTAATTTACTTTTTGATTGAAGTGGCCTTGGGAATGGTGCCTGCTGTCCCCTTCACTGAGCATGATAAGGGTTCATGGCGGCTACCTTTTATTTCTGTGTGATAGTTCTTTCTCTTTGAAGAACCCTTTTTGAAATCACCTACCTTGGGTTCTCGTGTTGTCTCAAGACACAGATCAACGCGGCAGAGTCAGGGACAGTTAGTCCTGGAGCAATATGCCCGTAGTGACAGGCCTGGCAGTCAGAGTGATGGATTGGGGCTGAGAAAGTGGTACTCGAAGCAAGGCAGTGACACCAGCGCGCCTCCACTGGCCGCGGAGAGCAAGAAGTGGTCTCCCCAGAGGCCCGCGCACAAAGGACCGGCTACACCCCCTGATGATCTGCGGACTGGGAACTTTAATGTCAAACTATGACTATGTAAAATCTCTGCCAAGTGCGAAGCTGGCAATGCACACTCCATCCGAAAGACGCGGGGAAGGGGAGAGGGGAGGGGAGTGTATTGTTATTTTTAATACAAAGTTTTTATCCCGACGTTTTCCTGGGGGAAGGTAGTACATTTTCTTTTTCTCCGGTGAGAAGAAATGGAGGGGGTGGGGGGGCAGGGGAGAGGGGGCACCTCTAGAGTTTGTATCGACGTGCAGCACTTAGAGAGATTCCCACCTCCTCTGGGATACTGGCCTCTCCAGCGATCCCAGATCGCCCTTCCCCCAAAAAATAAAAAATAAATAAAATAAATAGCAGCTATGAGCAGTGCACTGAGAGAATTTTACGCCTCTAAACAGGAGGACACGATAAGAAACCTGAAACACTCAAACACCGACTCTATAAATCAATGCGCAGGCACCGCGCGCCTGGAGCGTCCGGGTGGCGCGCACAGCCCAGGGTACCCCGTGCTTCTTCGCCACCATCTCACCCCGGAAGGGAGTCCTCAGACTTGCAGGCTTCGGACAGGATGGGCTCAAAGTTGTTGGAACGGCTGACGTCGCATCCCGAGAACCAGGGATGCCTCTGAGTCTCGGGTGCTTCCGAGTGAACACACCCGGGAGAAGCCAATTCGGGGAACAGAACTGGACGCGAGCAGAGCCCTAGCTGGGCCGGAACAGGGCTGGGGCTCAGGCGGCGCGGCCTGCCCCCAGGCGGCCTTCGGGAAAGGCTTGG